CACACACACTACACACACAGTGTACACACACACAGTGTACACACACACTACACACACAGTGTACACACACACAGTGTACACACACACTACACACACACTACACACACAGTGTACACACACACTACACACACACTACACACACACTACACACACAGTGTACACACACACAGTGTACACACACACTACACACACAGTGTACACACACACAGTGTACACACACACTACACACACAGTGTACACACACAGTGTACACACACACTACACACACAGTGTACACACACACAGTGTACACACACACTACACACACAGTGTACACACACACAGTGTACACACACACTACACACACAGTGTACACACACACAGTGTACACACACACTACACACACAGTGTACACACACACAGTGTACACACACACTACACACACAGTGTACACACACTACACACACAGTGTACACACACACAGTGTACACACACACTACACACACAGTGTACACACACACAGTGTACACACACACAGTGTACACACACACAGTGTACACACACACAGTGTACACACACACAGTGTACACACACACAGTGTACACACACTACACACACAGTGTACACACACACAGTGTACACACACTACACACACAGTGTACACACACACAGTGTACACACACTACACACACAGTGTACACACACACAGTGTACACACACTACACACACAGTGTACACACACACAGTGTACACACACTACACACACAGTGTACACACACACAGTGTACACACACTACACACACAGTGTACACACACACAGTGTACACACACTACACACACAGTGTACACACACTACACACACAGTGTACACACACACAGTGTACACACACTACACACACAGTGTACACACACACAGTGTACACACACTACACACACACAGTGTACACACACTACACACACAGTGTACACACACACAGTGTACACACACTACACACACAGTGTACACACACACAGTGTACACACACTACACACACAGTGTACACACACACAGTGTACACACACTACACACACAGTGTACACACACACAGTGTACACACACTACACACACAGTGTACACACACACAGTGTACACACACTACACACACAGTGTACACACACACAGTGTACACACACTACACACACAGTGTACACACACACAGTGTACACACACTACACACACAGTGTACACACACACAGTGTACACACACTACACACACAGTGTACACACACACAGTGTACACACACTACACACACAGTGTACACACACACAGTGTACACACACTACACACACAGTGTACACACACTACACACACAGTGTACACACACACAGTGTACACACACTACACACACAGTGTACACACACACAGTGTACACACACTACACACACAGTGTACACACACTACACACAACAGTGTACACACACACAGTGTACACACACTACACACACAGTGTACACACACACAGTGTACACACACTACACACACAGTGTACACACAATACACACACAGTGTACACACACACAGTGTACACACACTACACACACAGTGTATACACACAGTGTACACACACAGTGTACACACACAGTGTACACACACACAGTGTACACACACAGTGTAGTATACACAGTGTACACACACAGTGTAGTATACACAGTGTACACACACACAGTGTAGTACACACACAGTGTACACACACACACAGTGTAGTACACACACAGTGTACACACACACAGTGTAGTATACACACAGTGTACACACACACAGTGTACACACACAGTGTACACACACAGTGTACACACACAGTGTACACACACAGTGTACACACACAGTGTACACACACAGTGTACACACACAGTGTACACACAGTGTACACACACAGTGTACACACAGTGTACACACACACACAGTGTACACACAGTGTACACACACACACAGTGTACACACACACAGTGTAGTACACACACGGTGTAGTACACACACACTACACACGGTGTAGTACACACACGCACACGGTGTAGTACACAACACTACACACACACACTACACACACACTACACACACGTGTGTGTAGTGTGTGTGTCTGTGTGTTTGCCTGTGTGTCTGTCTGTGTCTATGTGTGTCTGTCTGTGTGTGTGTGTCTCTCTGTGTCTGTGTGTGTGTCTGTGTGTGTGTCTGTGTGTGTGTCTGTGTGTGTGTCTGTGTGTGTCTGTGTGTGTCTCTGTGTGTGTGTCTTTCTCCGTGTGTGTGTCTCTGTGTGTGTGTCTGTGTGTCTGTCTGTAGTTGTAGTTGTGGTAGTTGTAGTTGTGGTGGTGGTTGTGGTGGTTGTGGTGGTAGTTGTAGTTGTGGTAGTTCTGGTGGTGGTTGTTGTTGTGGTGGTAGTAGTTGTGGCATTTGTTGTTGTTATTGTTGCGGTGGTAGTAGTTGTGGTGGTAGTAGTTGTGGTAGTGGTAGTTGTGGTAGTTGTGGTGGTAGTAGTTGTGGTAGTGGTAGTTGTGGTAGTTGCAGTGGTAGTAGTTGTGGTAGTTGTTGTTGTTGCGGTGGTAGTAGTTGTGGATGGTAGTAGTTGTGGTAGTGGTAGTTGTTGTTGTTGTGGTAGTTGTGGTGGTAGTAGTTGTGGTAGTGGTAGTTGTGGTGGTATTTGTTGTTGTTGCGGTGGTAGTAGTTGTGGTAGTGGTAGTTGTGGTAGTGGTAGTTGTGGTAGTAGTGGTAGTGGTAGTTGTTGTTGTTGTGGTGGTAGTAGTTGTGGTAGTGGTAGTTGTGGTGGTATTTGTTGTTGTGGTGGTAGTTGTGGTATTTGTTGTTGTTGTTGTTGCGGTGGTAGTAGTTGTGGTAGTTGTGGTGGTTGTGGTATTTGTTGTTGTTGCAGTGGTAGTAGTTGTAGTTGTGGTGGTGGTAGTAGTGGTAGTTGTGGTATTTGTTGTTGTTGCGGTGGTAGTAGTTGTGGTAGTGGTAGTTGTGGTGGTATTTGTTGTTGTTGTGGTGGTAGTTGTGGTATTTGTTGTTGTTGCTGTACCGGATGTTGTTGATGCAGTCCTCGTGAGCGGCCGAGATGGTGGAGATTGGTCGTGATGTGAGTGGGTCCATCAGCAGCACCTCACACAGCTCACAGGCAGCCGCTAGTACTGAGCTGGTACACACAGGCAGAGAGAGAGAGAGAGTAGTCACACACAGACAGAGAGAGTAGTCACACACAGACAGAGAGAGTAGTCACACACACACAGTAGTCACACACAGAGTAGTCACACACACACAGAGAGAGTAGTCACAGAGAGAGAGAGAGAGAGTAGTCACACACAGACAGAGAGAGTAGTCACACACACAGTAGTCACACACAGAGAGAGAGTAGTCACAGAGAGAGAGAGAGTAGTCACACACAGAGTAGTCACACACAGACAGAGAGAGTAGTCACAGAGAGAGAGAGAGAGTAGTCACACACAGACAGAGAGAGTAGTCACAGAGAGAGAGAGAGAGTAGTCACACACAGACAGAGAGAGTAGTCACAGAGAGAGAGAGAGAGTAGTCACACACAGACAGAGAGAGTAGTCACACACACAGTAGTCACACACACAGTAGTCACACACACAGTAGTCACACACACAGTAGTCACACACACAGTAGTCACACACACAGTAGTCACACACACACACAGTCACACACACAGTAGTCACAGAGAGAGAGAGAGTAGTCACACACAGACAGAGAGAGTAGTCACACACACAGTAGTCACACACACAGTAGTCACACACACAGTAGTCACACACACAGTAGTCACACACACAGTAGTCACACACACAGTAGTCACACACACACAGTAGTCACACACACACACAGTAGTCACACACACAGTAGTCACACACACAGTAGTCACACACACAGTAGTCACACACACAGTAGTCACACACACAGTAGTCACACACACAGTAGTCACACACACAGTAGTCACACACACACAGTAGTCACACACACACAGTAGTCACACACACAGTAGTCACACACACAGTAGTCACACACACACAGTAGTCACACACACAGTAGTCACACACACAGTAGTCACACACACAGTAGTCACACACACAGTAGTCACACACACACAGTAGTCACACACACAGTAGTCACACACACAGTAGTCACACACACAGTAGTCACACACACACAGTAGTCACACACACGTAGTCACACAACAGTAGTCACACACACAGTAGTCACACACACAGTAGTCACACACACAGTAGTCACACACACAGTAGTCACACACACAGTAGTCACACACACAGTAGTCACACACACAGAGTACACACACACACAGTAGTCACACACACAGTAGTCACACACACAGTAGTCACACACACAGTCACACACACAGTAGTCACACACACAGTAGTCACACACACAGTAGTCACACACACAGTAGTCACACACACAGTAGTCACACACACAGTAGTCACACACACAGTAGTCACACACACAGTAGTCACACACACAGTAGTCACACACACACTAGTCACACACACAGTAGTCACACACACAGTAGTCACACACACACAGTAGTCACACACACAGTAGTCACACACACACAGTAGTCACACACACAGTAGTCACACACACAGTAGTCACACACACAGTAGTCACACACACAGTAGTCACACACACAGTAGTCACACACACACAGTAGTCACACACACAGTAGTCACACACACAGTAGTCACACACACACAGTAGTCACACACACAGTAGTCACACACACAGTAGTCACACACACAGTAGTCACACACACACAGTAGTCACACACACAGTAGTCACACACACAGTAGTCACACACACAGTAGTCACACACACAGTAGTCACACACACACAGTAGTCACACACACAGTAGTCACACACACAGTAGTCACACACACAGTAGTCACACACACAGTAGTCACACACACACACACAGTAGTCACACACACAGTAGTCACACACACAGTAGTCACACACACAGTAGTCACACACACAGAGTAGTCACACACACAGTAGTCACACACACAGTAGTCACACACACAGTAGTCACACACACAGTAGTCACACACACAGTAGTCACACACACAGTAGTCACACACAGAGTAGTCACACACACTGTAGTCACACACAGAGTAGTCACACACAGAGTAGTCACACACACAGTAGTCACACACACACACAGTAGTCACACACACACTAGTCACACACACACTAGTCACACACACACACAGTAGTCACACACACAGTAGTCACACACACAGTAGTCACACACACAGTAGTCACACACACACAGTAGTCACACACACTGTAGTCACACACACTGTAGTCACACACACAGTAGTCACACACACAGTAGTCACACACACAGTAGTCACACACAAATGGTTTCAAGAGCTATCTACACACTACTCCCTCACCACCACCACTCACCCATCAGGTGAGGACTCCAAGTTGAACAACGTCCTCACCACCACTCACCACCACTCACCACACCTCACCACCACTCACCACACCTCACCACCACTCACCACCACTCACCACACCTCACCACACCTCACCTCACCCTCCCTCACCACCACTCACCACCACTCACCACACCTCACCACCACTCACCACCACTCACCACACCTCACCACCACTCACCACCACTCACCACACCTCACCACACCTCACCTCACCCTCCCTCACCACCACTCACCCCACCTCACCACCACTCACCCCACCTCACCACCACTCACACCACCTCACCACCACTCACACCACCTCACCACCACTCACCACACCCCACCTCACCTCATCACACCTAACCACACCTAACCACACCTCACCACCACTCACCACCACTCACACCTCACCACCACTCACCACACCTCACCACCACTCACCCCACCTCACCACCACTCACCACCACTCACCACCACTCACCCCACCTCACCACCACTCACCCCACCTCACCACCACTCACCCCACCTCACCACCACTCACACCACCTCACCACCACTCACCAAACCTCACCACCACTCACCCCACCTCACCACCACTCACCCCACCTCACCACCACTCACCCCACCTCACCACCACTCACACCACCTCACCACCACTCACCAAACCTCACCACCTCTCACCACCACTCACCCCACCACACCTCTCCACCACTCACCACCACTCACCACCACTCACCCCACCTCACCACCACTCACCCCACCTCACCACACCTCACCACCACTCACCCCACACCTCACCTCACCACCACTCACCTCACCTCACCACACCTCACCACCACTCACCCCACCTCACCACCACTCACCCCACCTCACCACCACTCACACCACCTCACCACCACTCACCCCACCTCACCACCACTCACACCACCTCACCACCACTCACCACACCCCACCTCACCTCACCTCATCACACCTAACCACACCTCACCACCACTCACCCCACCTCTCACCATCACTCACCACCACTCACCCCACCTCACCACCACCACTCACCACCACTCACCCCACCTCACAACCACCCCTCACCCCACCCCTCACAACCACTCACCCCACTTCACAACCACTCACCCCACCTCACCACCACTCACCCCACCTCACCACCACACCTCACCCCACCTCTCACCACCACTCACCACCACTCACCCCCACTCACCCCACTTCACCACCACTCACCCCACCTCTCACCACCACTCACCCCCACTCACCCCACCTCACCACTCACCCATCAGGTGAGTATTCCAGGTTGAACACCGCCCCGTGGCTGCTGCTGCTGTTGCTTCCAACACCTCCTCCACCAACACCTCCTACTCACAACCACTCACCACCACTCACACCTCACCACCACTCACCACACCTCACCTCACCACCACTCACCACCACACCTCACCACACATCACCACACCTCACCACACCTCACCTCACCACCACTCACCACCACACCTCACCACACATCACCACACCTCACCACACATCACCACACCTCACCACACCTCACCACACATCACCACACCTCACCACACATCACCACACCTCACCACACCTCACCACACATCACCACACCTCACCACACCTCACAACGCCTCACCACACCTCACCACCACTCACCCCACCCCTCACCACACCTCACCCCACCTCTCACCACCACTCACCCCACCTCACCACCACCACTCACCACCACTCACCCCACCTCACAACCACCCCTCACCCCACCCCTCACAACCACTCACCCCACTTCACAACCACTCACCCCACCTCACCACCACTCACCCCACCTCACCACCACACCTCACCCCACCTCTCACCACCACTCACCACCACTCACCCCCACTCACCCCACTTCACCACCACTCACCCCACCTCTCACCACCACTCACCCCCACTCACCCCACCTCACCACTCACCCATCAGGTGAGTATTCCAGGTTGAACACCGCCCCGTGGCTGCTGCTGCTGTTGCTTCCAACACCTCCACCAACACCTCCTCCTACTCACAACCACTCACCACCACTCACCCCACACCTCACCTCACCACACATCACCTCACCTCACCACCACTCACCACCACACCTCACCACACCTCACAACGCCTCACCACACCTCACCACCACTCACCCCACCCCTCACCACACCTCACCCCACCTCTCACCACCACTCACCCCACCCCACCACCACCACTCACCACTCACCCATCAGGTGAGTATTCCAGGTTGAACACCGCCCCGTGGCTGCTGCTGCTGCTGTTGCTCCCAACACCTCCACCAACACCTCCTCCTCCACCTCCTCCACCACCTCCTCCTCCTCCTCTCCCACCCCTCCACCTCCTCCTCCTCCTCCCCCCAACCGGTACAGCCGCTCCTCCTCTCCCCCTCTCCTCCTCATCCTCCTCCTCATCACCCTCCACCTCTTCATCATCATCACCATCATCACCACCACCATCACCACCACCACCACTACACCGCACGGGCCTAAGCGCCGCGTACAGCCTCGTGGTCGCCTCGAACTCTGCCCGGCCTGGCTGCGCGAACCCGGCCAGGCCTCTGCGCCGCAGCTCGAGCCACGAGAAGACCGAAGATCCGCGGGGATTCGACCAGAGCAGCGAGCCGCCGGCACCCGCACCGGCACCGCGTCTCCGCACAGGCCGAGATTTTTTGGCGTCCTCGGCCATGGGAATGTGGAGTTGACCGCTGAGCGGCTGAGACCAGCGCCTTTGGGCAGGGGAGGGGGTGGAGGCCTGGAGCAGTCGACCCAAGATGGCCGCGGAATCGCGGCTTCACCGAGATGCAGTGCGCATGCGCGATGGCAGGGGGGGGGGGGTGGAGGGAGGGGCCCAACTGCTAGGCCAGAGAATCTGATTGGGCGAGGAGACCTAGGGGAGGGAGGGGGGGGGATTTTGCGATTCGCGAGTTGATTGGTTGAGTGGGAGGGGGGGGCGGGGGTTGTCGGTGGGGGAAGCTGCGAGCCCCGAGCTGATTGGTCGTTGCGATTGTTTTTGTTGCGTGTCCACCGCTGAGCGAACGATCCGGTTGGACGACACTTGCGGGGAAGAGGGGGGAGGGGTTGTTGAGAGAGTCGCGAGTTGATTGGTTGAGTATTAGGGGGGGGGGAGGGGGGGAGTTACCAGTGGGGGTGGGGGAAGCGCGAGCCCCTCAAGCTGATTGGTCGTTGGATTTGTTTTTGTTATACCCCCCCTCATCCGATTGGACGAGACTTGGAGGGGGAGGGGTGGTGTGCGAGACTCGCCAGTTGATTGCCTGAGGGGGTGCCCGGGGGGTTGGGAGGGGGGGGGTGGACGCTCGAGCCGCAAGCTGATTGGCTGAGGGGGTCTTGGGTGGGGGGGGGGTTGGGGGATAGCCGCTAGCTGATTGGTTGTTTTTGTCGTTACCCCCGGGCCCATTATTGCCGCTGACACCGCATGAATGAGGCGATACCCGATTGGCTGATTGGATAGCCTCGTGTTAATATCTACGGAAACTCCTCGACTTACGTACATTCGACTTACAAACACTCGACTTACGAACTTCAAATACAAAGCCTAAATCTTGACTTAAAGCTTTCGTGACTGCAGGAATTCCATATTCAAAGAAACTATATTTACCGAAAGACCAAAAGAATACGAGCAAGGCCTGCCCCCGTATGTCCAGCTGCCAACAGGTACCATGGGTTGACTCCTGTGCCAGGCTAGGTGCAGGAAGAGATCACGTGACAGACCCAACAGGTGCCATGAGTTGACTGAGATGGCTGGAAGATGCACCACCTGTGACCCCCTACTGTGCCATGACACCATAAACTCACACACCCACCCACACACACCTACACACACCCACACACACTCACACACCTACACACCCACCCACACACCTACACACCCACCCACACACCTACACACCCACACACACTCACACACCTACACATACCTACACACACACACACACACCCACACACCTACACACTCACCCACACACCTACACACCCACCCACACACCCACCCACACACTTACACACCCACCCACACACCAACCCATCCACCCACACACCCACCCACACACCTACCCACACACCAACCCACCCACCCTCACCAATCCTCACCACCACACTCACCCTCACCAATCCTCACCACCACACTCACCAATCCTCACCACCACACTCACCCTCACCAATCCTCACCACCACAATCACCCTCACCAATCCTCACCACCACACTCACCTTCATCAATCCTCACCACCACACTCACCCTCACCAATCCTCACCACCACACTCACCCTCACCAATCCTCACCACCACAATCACCTTCACCAATCCTCACCACCACACTCACCCTCACCAATCCTCACCACCACAATCACCCTCACCAATCCTCACCACCACACTCACCCTCACCAATCCTCACCATCACACTCACCCTCACTAATCCTCACCACCACAATCACCCTCACCACCACACTCACCAATCCTCACCACCACACTCACCCTCACCAATCCTCACCACCACACTCACCCTCACCACCACACTCACCCTCACCAATCCTCACCACCACACTCACCAATCCTCACCACCACACTCACCCTCACCAATCCTCACCACCACACTCACCCTCACCAATCCTCACCATCACACTCACCCTCACCAATCCTCACCACCACACTCACCAATCCTCACCACCACTAGCCATCACCATCACCACCAGTCCTCACCAATCCTCACCACCACCACCACCACCAGTCCTCACCAATCCTCACCACCACACTCACCCTCACCAATCCTCACCATCACACTCACCCTCACCAATCCTCACCACCACACTCACCAATCCTCACCACCACTAGCCATCACCATCACCACCAGTCCTCACCAATCCTCACCACCACCACCACCAGTCCTCACCAATCCTCACCACCACCACCAGCCCTCACCACCACCACCACCAGTCCTCACCAGTCCTCACCAATCCTCACCACCACACTCACCCTCACCAATCCTCACCACCACACTCACCCTCACCAGATCCTCACCACCACACTCACCCTCACCAATCCTCACCACCACACTCACCTTCACCAATCCTCACCACCACACTCACCCTCACCAGATCCTCACCACCACACTCACCCTCACCAATCCTCACCACCACACTCACCCTCACCAGATCCTCACCACCACACTAACCCTCACCAATCCTCACCACCACACTCACCTTCACCAATCCTCACCAATCCTCACCACCACACTCACCCTCACCAATCCTCACCATCACACTCACCCTCACCAATCCTCACCACCACACTCACCAATCCTCACCACCACTAGCCATCACCATCACCACCAGTCCTCACCAATCCTCACCACCACCACCACCAGTCCTCACCAATCCTCACCACCACACTCACCCTCACCAATCCTCACCATCACACTCACCCTCACCAATCCTCACCACCACACTCACCAATCCTCACCACCACTAGCCATCACCATCACCACCAGTCCTCACCAATCCTCACCACCACCACCACCAGTCCTCACCAATCCTCACCACCACCACCAGCCCTCACCACCACCACCACCAGTCCTCACCAGTCCTCACCAATCCTCACCACCACACTCACCCTCACCAATCCTCACCACCACACTCACCCTCACCAGATCCTCACCACCACACTCACCCTCACCAATCCTCACCACCACACTCACCTTCACCAATCCTCACCACCACACTCACCCTCACCAGATCCTCACCACCACACTCACCCTCACCAATCCTCACCACCACACTCACCCTCACCAGATCCTCACCACCACACTAACCCTCACCAATCCTCACCACCACACTCACCCTCACCAATCCTCACCACCACACTCACCCTCACCAGATCCTCACCACCACACTCACCCTCACCAATCCTCACCACCACACTCACCTTCACCAATCCTCACCACCACACTCACCCTCACCAGATCCTCACCACCACACTCACCCTCACCAATCCTCACCACCACACTCACCCTCACCAGATCCTCACCACCACACTAACCCTCACCAATCCTCACCACCACACTCACCTTCACCAATCCTCACCAATCCTCACCACCACCACCAGCCCTCACCACCACACTCACCCTCACCAATCCTCACCACACCACCACCAGCCCTCACCACCACCAGTCCTCACCAATCCTCACCACCACCACCACCACCACACTCACCCTCACCAATCCTCACCAGTCCTCACCAATCCTCACCACCACCACCAGCAGCAGCGCTCGGCCATCTGAAGCAGGCGTGAGGCGGCAGGACCGTACACACGTGGAGAGGGATTATTTAATTATAAACCAGGCGGCAGGGGGCGGGGCGAAGGGGGAGAAGGGGCGGGGCGAAGGCGGCAGGGGGCGGGGCGAAGGAGGGAAGGGGCGGGGGCGAATGGAGGGCGGGGGGAAGGGGCGGGGCGAGGGAGGGGTGGGGGAAGGGGGGCGGGGCGAAGGGGCGGGGCGAAGGGGGGTGGAAGGGGTGGGGGTGGTGGGGGGAAGGGGTGGGGGTGGTGGGGGGTGGGGGTGGTGGTGGGGGGAAGGGGTGGGGGTGGTGGGGGGGATTGGGGGGAGTGACGGGGGGGGGGGTACAAAATTAACTAGAGGCGGCATCTGGGAATAAATAAAGACACGTGGTGTAGTAGTGATGATGGTGGTGTTGTTGTGTTGTTGTTGTAGTGTTGATGGTGGTGGTGGTGTAGTAGTGGTGGTGGTGGTGTAGTGTTGTTGTTGTAGTGTTGATGGTGGTGGTGTAGTAGTGGTGGTGTAGTGGTGTAGTAGTGGTGGTGTAGTAGTGATGGTGGTGTAGTGGTGGTGGTTGTTGTAGTAGTGTTGATGGTGGTGGTGGTGTAGTAGTGTTGGTGGTAGTGGTGTAGTAGTGATGGTGGTGGTGTAGTGGTGCTGTTGTGTTGTGGTGGTTGTGGTGGTGTAGTAGTGTTGGTGTGGTGGTGTAGTAGTGTTGTAGTGGTGTAGTGGTTGTTGTGTTGTGGTGTTGTTGTGTTGTGGTGGTGTAGTAGTGTTGTGGTGGTTGTGGTGGTGTAGTAGTGTTGGTGGTGGTGTAGTAGTGTTGTTGTTGGTGGTGTAGTAGTGTTGGTGGTGGTGTAGTAGTGTTGGTGGTGGTGTAGTAGTGGTGGGTAGTAGTGGTGGTGGTGTTGGTGTAGTAGTGTTGGTGGTTGTTGTAGTGTTGATGGTGGTGGTTGTGGTTGTTGTAGTGTTGATGGTGGTGGTTGTTGTGGTGGTTGTAGTGTTGATGGTGGTGGTTTTGGTGGTTGTAGTGTTGATGGTGGTGGTTGTGGTGGTGGTTGTAGTGTTGATGGTGGTGGTTGTGGTGTTGATGGTGGTTGTTGTGGTTGTTGTGGTGTTGATGATGCGTATGGTTGTTGTGGTGGTGGTGGCTACAGTGACAGTGTGAATGTGGTGAGTGTGTGGTGGTGGTGGTGAGGATATTGGTGTAGTGAGTTTGTGGTGGTGAGTGTGTGGTGGTGAGTGTGTGGTGGTGGTGGTGAGGATATTGGTGTAGTGAGTTTGTGGTGGTGAGTGTGTGGTGAGTGTGGTGAGTGTGGTGGTGGTGAGGATATTGGTGTAGTGAGTGTGTGGTGGTGAGTGTGTGGTGGTGAGTGTGTGCTGGTGGTGGTGAGGATATTGGTGTGGTGTGTGGTGATGAGGACATTGGGGTGGTGTGCGGTGGTGGTGGTGAGGATATTGGTGAGTGTGTGGTGTGTGTGGTGAGTGTGGTGGTGGTGAGTGTGGTGGTGAGGATATTGGTGAGTGTGTGGTGGTGAGGATATTGGTGAGTGTGTGGTGGTGAGTGTGTGGTGGTGAGGATATTGGTGAGTGTGTCGTGGTGAGTGTGTGGTGAGTGTGTGTGGTGAGGATATTGGTGAGTGTGTGGTGGTGAGGATATTGGTGAGTGTGTGGTGGTGAGTGTGGTGGTGAGGATATTGGTGAGGATATTGGTGAGTGTGGTGGTGGTGAGGATATTGGTGAGGATATTGGTGAGTGTGGTGGTGAGGATATTGGTGAGTGTGTGGTGGTGAGGATATTGGTGAGGATATTGGTGAGTGTGTTACGTCGGGGGAGTGGTGGTGCAGTGGTTAGCGCTGCGTTACGAACTCAACACAGGCCGTGGGCGGTTCGATTCACCGCTCACGGCCACCGACACCAGCGGTGTGGGCCTCCCCTAGATCAACTCGGCCTTAAATGTCTCCCTGGTGCTGGCCAACCACCCCCACAGTGCCACGAGCCTTCAGAGGTGCTGCTACTCGCTAACAGCACTTGCCCCTGCAGCCCTGCTAGAGGCTACCTGGGGGAGCTTTGTCTGTGTCTGTGTCTCAGCACTTGCCCCTGCAGCCCTGCTAGAGGCTACCTGGGGGAGCTTTGTCTTTGTGCGTGTGTGTGTGTCTTTGCTGTGTCTATACAGTCTGTCTGTCTGTGCATTCAGACACTCTCACGCAGACACACACACACAGACACACACAGACACACACACACTGACACACACACACACTGACACACACACACTGACACACACACACTGACACACACACACACTGACACACACACACTGACACACACACACACTGACACACACACACACTGACACACACACACACTGACACACACACACTGACACACACACTGACACACACACTGACACACACACACTGACACACACACTAACACATACACACTGACACATACACACTGAAACACACACACTGACACACACACACACTGACACACACACGCAGACACACACACAGACACCCACACACACAGAGACACACACTCACACACACACAGACACACACTGAGACACACACAGACACACACACACTAACACTCACACTGACACACTCACACACAGAGACACACACACTGCTGTACCCCTGCGTGTGTACTCCGGTTGTAGCTGTAGAGGCAGCTTTAGGGGCAGCTGTAGGGGCAGCTGTAGGGGCAGCTATAGACAAGGGGTGGGGGCAGCTGTAGGGGCAGCTGTAGGGACAGCTGTAGGGGTAGCTTTAGGGGCAGCTGTAGGGGCAGCTTTAGGGACAGCTGTAGGATGGGGAATGCTGTAGGGGCAGCTGTAGGGACAGCTGTAGGGGCAGCTATAGACAAGGGGCAGCTGTAGGGGCAGCTGTAGGGGCAGCTGAAGGATGGGGGATGCTGTAGGGGATGCTGTAGCTGTAGGGGCAGCTGTAGGGGCAGCTGTAGGGGCAGCTGTAGGGGCAGCTGTAGGATGGGGGATGCTGTAGCTGTAGGGGCTGCTGTAGGGGCTGCTGTAGGGGCAGCTGTAGGGGCAGAGTGAGTGAGTGAGCGAGTGACTGGGTGGGTGGGTGAGTGGGTGAGTGAGTGACTGGGTGAGTGGGTGAGTGAGTGAGTGAGTGGATGAGTGGGTGAGTGAGTGAGTGAGTGAAAGGGTGGGTGGGTGAGTGAGCGAGTGAGTGACTGGGTGAGTGAGTGAGTGGGTGGGTGGGTGAGTGAGTGGGTGAGTGAGTGGGTGAGTGAGTGAGTGGGTGAGTGGATGAGTGAGTGAGTGGGTGAGTGAGTGAGTGAGCGGGTGGGTGAGTGGGTGAGTGGGTGAGTGAGTGAGTGAGGGGGGTGAGTGAGTGAGTGAGCGGGTGAGTGAGTGAGGGGGGTGAGTGGGTGAGTGAGTGAGTGAGTGGGTGAGTGAGTGAGTGGGTGAGTGAGTGAGTGTATGAGTGAGTGAGTGTATGAGTGACTGAGTGACTGAGTGAGTGTATGAGTGAGTGAGTGTATGAGTGAGTGTATGAGTGAGTGTATGAGTGACTGAGTGAGCGAGTGAGTGTATGAGTGAGCGAGTGAGTGTATGAGTGAGAGACTGAGTGAGTGACTGAGTGAGTGTATGAGTGACTGAGTGAGCGAGTGAGTGTATGAGTGAGCGAGTGAGTGTATGAGTCAGTGTACGAGTGAGTGTATGAGTGAGTGAGTGTATGAGTGAGTGTATGAGTGAGTGAGTGTATGAGTGAGTGTATGAGTGAGTGTATGAGTGTGTGAGTGTATGAGTGAGTGAGTGGTGAGTGTATGTGTGAGTGAGTGAGTGTATGAGTGAGTGTATGAGTGAGTGTATGAGTGAGTGTATGAGTGAGTGTATGGGTGAGTGTATGAGCGAGTGAGTGTATGAGTGAGTGTATGAGTGAGTGACTGTGTGACTGAGTGGTGAGTGAGTGACTGAGTGAGTGAGTGTATGAGTGAGTGTATGACTGTGTGAGTGAGTGAGTGTGTGAGTGAGTGACTGAGTGAGCGAGTGACTGAGTGAACGAGTGTATGAGTGTATGAGTGTGTGAGTGTATGAGTGTATGTATGACTGAGTGACTGAGTGAGTGACTGAGTGAGTGTATGACTGAGTGAGTGACTGACTGAGCAAGTGACTGAGTGAGTGACTGACTGACTGAGTGAGTGACTGAGTGAGTGACTGAGTGAGTGTATGAGTGACTGACTGAGTGTATGACTGAGTGTGTGTATGAGTGACTGAGTGAGTGACTGAGTGAGTGACTGAGTGAGTGACTGAGTGAGTGACTGAGTGAGCGACTGAGTGAGTGACTGAGTGAGTGACTGAGTGAGTAAGTGACTGAGTGAGTGACTGAGTGTATGAGTGACTGAGTGAACGAGCGGTTTGGTCACTCGTCCTCGCCGAGGTCCTGGACAAAGAGAACCTCGGAGCGGCCCAGCCCAGCCTCCTTCAGCGTCGGGAATCGGTGCGGCGGTGACGCCGGTGACGCCGGTGACGCCGGTGACGCCGGTGACGCCGGTGACGCCGGTGACGCCGGTGACGCCGGTGACGCCGGTGCCGGTGAGGCCGATGGTTGTGGCGGTGAGCACAGAACTCGCCGTGGGAAGTTGCAGACAATCTGGAAGACCTCGGGGGCCCCGTGGTGCGAGAAGACAAAGTCGTAGACAGCCTGGACACACGGCACACACACACGCCGCACACTGTACACGCACCGTACACGCACTGTACACACACCGTACACGCACTGTACACGCACCGTACACGCACTGTACACACGCCGCACACTGTACACGCACTGTACACGCACTGTGCACACACTGTATACACGCCGCACACTGTACACATACCGTACACGCACTGTACACACACCACACGCACACTGTACACACTGTACACACACCACACACTGTACACACACTGTACATACACTGTACACACCCCACACACTGTACACACACTGTACACACACTGCACACACACTGCACACACACGCACAGCACACTGTACACACATAGTGTACACACACACACAGGTACACACACCTCACCCACCCCTCACTCACCTGGGTGGTGTGCGTGTCACTCACCACCTCACTCACTCACCACCTCACTCACCCCTCACTCACCACCTCACTCACCACCTCACTCACCCACCCCTCACTCACCTGGGTGGTGTGCGTGTCACTCACCCCTCACTCACCCCCTGAGTCACTCACCACCTCACTCACTCACCACCTCACTCACCACCTCACTCACCCCTCACTCACCACCTCACTCACCCCTCACTCACTCACCACCTCACTCACCACCTCACTCACCCACCACCTCACTCACCTGGGTGGTGTGCGTGTCACTCACCACCTCACTCACCACCTCACTCACCACCTCACTCACCCCTCACTCACTCACCTGGGTGGTGTGCGTGTCACTCACCACCTCACTCACTCACCTCTCACTCACCTGGGTGGTGTGCGTGTCACTCACCACCTCACTCACCACCTCACTCACTCACCCCTCACTCACCTGGGTGGTGTGTGTGTCACTCACCACCTCACTCACCCCTCACTCACCTGGGTGGTGTGTGTGTCACTCACCACCTCACTCACCCCTCACTCACCCCTCACTCACCACCTCACTCACCCCTCACTCACCCCTCACTCACCCCTCACTCACCCCTCACTCACTCACCTGGGTGGTGTGCGTGTCACTCACCCCCTGAATCACTCACCACCTCACTCACCACCTCACTCACTCACCCCTCACTCACCTGGGTGGTGTGCGTGTCACTCACCACCTCACTCACCCCTCACTCACCCCCTCACTCACCCTCTCACTCACCTCACTCACCCCTCACTCACTCACCTGGGTGGTGTGCGTGTCACTCACCACCTCACTCACCACCTCACTCACCACCTCACTCACTCACCACCTCACTCACCACCTCACTCACTCACCCCTCACTCACCACCTCACTCACCCCCTGAGTCACTCACTCACCACCTCACTCACTCACCACCTCACTCACCACCTCACTCACCACCTCACTCACTCACCACCTCACTCACTCACCTGGGTGGTGTGCGTGTCACTCACCACCTCACTCACCCCTCACTCACCCCCTCACTCACCACCTCACTCACCTGGGTGGTGTGCGTGTCACTCACCACCTCACTCACCCCTCACTCACCACCTCACTCACTCACCTGGGTGGTGTGCGTGTCACTCACCCCCTCACTCACCCCTCACTCACCCCTCACTCACCCCTCACTCACCACCTCACTCACCCTCTCACTCACCCCTCACTCACCCCTCACTCACCACCTCACTCACTCACCTGGGTGGTGTGCGTGTCACTCACCACCTCACTCACCACCTCACTCACTCACCTGGGTGGTGTGCGTGTCACTCACCACCTCACTCACCACCTCACTCACCCCTCACTCACCCCTCACTCACCTGGGTGGTGTGCGTGTCACTCACCACCTCACTCACCACCTCACTCACCACCTCACTCACCTGGGTGGTGTGCGTGTCACTCACCACCTCACTCACCACCTCACTCACCCCTCACTCACCCCTCACTCACCTGGGTGGTGTGCGTGTCACTCACCACCTCACTCACCACCTCACTCACCACCTCACTCACCTGGGTGGTGTGCGTGTCACTCACCACCTCACTCACTCACCACCTCACTCACTCACCTGGGTGGTGTGCGTGTCACTCACCACCTCACTCACCCCTCACTCACCACCTCACTCACCCCCTGAGTCACTCACTCACCACCTCACTCACTCACCACCTCACTCACCACCTCACTCACCCCTCACTCACTCACTCACCACCTCACTCACTCACCTGGGTGGTGTGCGTGTCACTCACCACCTCACTCACCACCTCACTCACCACCTCACTCACCACCTCACTCACCACCTCACTCACCACCTCACTCACCACCTCACTCACCCCTCACTCACCCCTCACTCACCTGGGTGGTGTGGGTGTCACTCACCACCTCACTCACCACCTCACTCACCACCTCACCCCTCACTCACTCACCTGGGTGGTGTGCGTGTCACTCACCACCTCACTCACCACCTCACTCACCACCTCACTCACTCACCTGGGTGGTGTGGGTGTCACTCACCACCTCACTCACCACCTCACCCCTCACTCACCTGGGTGGTGTGCGTGTCACTCACCACCTCACTCACTCACCACCTCACTCACTCACCTGGGTGGTGTGCGTGTCACTCACCACCTCACTCACCACCTCACTCACCACCTCACTCACTCACCACCTCACTCACTCACCTGGGTGGTGTGGGTGTCACTCACCACCTCACTCACTCACCACCTCACCCCTCACTCACCTGGGTGGTGTGCGTGTCACTCACCACCTCACTCACCACCTCACTCACCACCTCACTCACTCACCTGGGTGGTGTGGGTGTCACTCACTCACCACTCACTCACCACCTCACTCACTCACCTGGGTGGTGTGTGTGTCACTCACCACCTCACTCACCCCTCACTCACCACCTCACTCACCACCTCACCCCTCACTCACCTGGGTGGTGTGGGTGTCACTCACCCCTCACTCACCACCTCACTCACCACCTCACCCCTCACTCACCTGGGTGGTGTGGGTGTCACTCACCCCCTCACTCACCACCTCACCCCTCACTCACTCACCTGGGTGGTGTGCGTGTCACTCACCACCTCACTCACTCACCCCTCACTCACTCACCTGGGTGGTGTGCGTGTCACTCACCACCTCACTCACCACCTCACTCACCACCTCACTCACCACCTCACTCACCCCTCACTCACCTGGGTGGTGTGCGTGTCACTCACCACCTCACTCACCACCTCACTCACCACCTCACTCACCACCTCACTCACCACCTCACTCACCACCTCACTCACTCACCTGGGTGGTGTGCGTGTCACTCACCACCTCACTCACTCACCACCTCACTCACTCACCTGGGTGGTGTGGGTGTCACTCACCACCTCACTCACTCACCACCTCACCCCTCACTCACCTGGGTGGTGTGGGTGTCACTCACCACCTCACTCACTCACCACCTCACCCCTCACTCACCTGGGTGGTGTGGGTGTCACTCACCACCTCACTCACTCACCACCTCACTCACCCCTCACTCACTCACCTGGGTGGTGTGGGTGTCACTCACCACCTCACTCACCACCTCACTCACCACCTCACTCACTCACCACCTCACTCACTCACCACCTCACTCACCCCTCACTCACCTGGGTGGTGTGCGTGTCACTCACCACCTCACTCACCCCCTCACTCACCACCTCACCCCTCACTCACCTGGGTGGTGTGTGTGTCGAGGAATCTCCGAGAGAGCCTCGTGCCGTCTGGCAGCTTCAAGACGGCGGTGATGGCGCCCGGGTGACCGGCCGGCGGCTCCTCCGGCATCAGCAGGGCCCGACGCTGACGCTCACGAGCCACCTCCTGTACAGTACAACACACTGTAACACTGTGCCACTGTAACACTGTACCACTGTACCACTGTAACACTGTACCACAGCAGGGCCCGGCGCTGGCGCTCACGAGCCACCTCCTGTACAGTACAACACACACTGTAACACTGTACCACTGTATCACTGTAACACTGTAACACTGTGTCACTGTGTCACTGTAACACTGTACCACTGTAACACTGTACCACAGCAGGGCCCGACGCTGGCGCTCACGAGCCACCTCCTGTACAGTACAACACGCACTGTAACACTGTAACACTGTCACTGTAAAACTGTGTCACTATAACACTGCACCACTGTAACACTGTATCACTGTAACACTGTAACACTGTACCACAGCAGGGCCCGACGCTGGCGCTCACGAGCCACCTCCTGTACAGTACATCACGCACTGTAACACTGTAACACTGTCACTGTAAAACTGTGTCACTATAACACTGCACCACTGTAACACTGTATCACTGTAACACTGTAACACTGTACCACAGCAGGGCCCGACGCTGGCGCTCACGAGCCACCTCCTGTACAGTACATCACGCACTGTAACACTGTAACACTGTCACTGTAAAACTGTGTCACTATAACACTGCACCACTGTAACACTGTATCACTGTAACACTGTAACACTGTACCACAGCAGGGCCCGACGCTGGCGCTCACGAGCCACCTCCTGTACAGTACATCACGCACTGTAACACTGTAACACTGTCACTGTAAAACTGTGTCACTATAACACTGCACCACTGTAACACTGTATCACTGTAACACTGTAACACTGTACCACAGCAGGGCCCGACGCTGGCGCTCACGAGCCACCTCCTGTACAGTACATCACGCACTGTAACACTGTAACACTGTCACTGTAAAACTGTGTCACTATAACACTGCACCACTGTAACACTGTATCACTGTAACACTGTAACACTGTACCACAGCAGGGCCCGACGCTGGCGCTCACGAGCCACCTCCTGTACAGTACATCACGCACTGTAACACTGTAACACTGTCACTGTAAAACTGTGTCACTATAACACTGCACCACTGTAACACTGTATCACTGTAACACTGTAACACTGTACCACAGCAGGGCCCGACGCTGGCGCTCACGAGCCACCTCCTGTACAGTACATCACGCACTGTAACACTGTAACACTGTCACTGTAAAACTGTGTCACTATAACACTGCACCACTGTAACACTGTATCACTGTAACACTGTAACACTGTACCACAGCAGGGCCCGACGCTGGCGCTCACGAGCCACCTCCTGTACAGTACATCACGCACTGTAACACTGTAACACTGTCACTGTAAAACTGTGTCACTATAACACTGCACCACTGTAACACTGTATCACTGTAACACTGTAACACTGTACCACAGCAGGGCCCGACGCTGGCGCTCACGAGCCACCTCCTGTACAGTACATCACGCACTGTAACACTGTAACACTGTCACTGTAAAACTGTGTCACTATAACACTGCACCACTGTAACACTGTATCACTGTAACACTGTAACACTGTACCACAGCAGGGCCCGACGCTGGCGCTCACGAGCCACCTCCTGTACAGTACATCACGCACTGTAACACTGTAACACTGTCACTGTAAAACTGTGTCACTATAACACTGCACCACTGTAACACTGTATCACTGTAACACTGTAACACTGTACCACAGCAGGGCCCGACGCTGGCGCTCACGAGCCACCTCCTGTACAGTACATCACGCACTGTAACACTGTAACACTGTCACTGTAAAACTGTGTCACTATAACACTGCACCACTGTAACACTGTATCACTGTAACACTGTAACACTGTACCACAGCAGGGCCCGACGCTGGCGCTCACGAGCCACCTCCTGTACAGTACATCACGCACTGTAACACTGTAACACTGTCACTGTAAAACTGTGTCACTATAACACTGCACCACTGTAACACTGTATCACTGTAACACTGTAACACTGTACCACAGCAGGGCCCGACGCTGGCGCTCACGAGCCACCTCCTGTACAGTACATCACGCACTGTAACACTGTAACACTGTCACTGTAAAACTGTGTCACTATAACACTGCACCACTGTAACACTGTATCACTGTAACACTGTAACACTGTACCACAGCAGGGCCCGACGCTGGCGCTCACGAGCCACCTCCTGTACAGTACATCACGCACTGTAACACTGTAACACTGTCACTGTAAAACTGTGTCACTATAACACTGCACCACTGTAACACTGTATCACTGTAACACTGTAACACTGTACCACAGCAGGGCCCGACGCTGACGCTCACGAGCCACCTCCTGTACAGTACAACACACTGTATCACTGTCACTGTAACACTGTAACACTGTACCACTGTATCACTGTCACTGTACCACAGCAGGGCCCGACGCTGACGCTCGCGAGCCACCTCCTGTACAGTACATCACACTGTAACACTGTAACACTGTCACTGTAACACTGTAACACTGTGTCACTGTAACACTGTATCACTGTACCACTGTGTCACTGTGACACTGTAACACTGTACATCAGCAGGGCCCGGCGCTGGCGCTCGCGAGCCACCTCCTGTACAGTACAACACACACTGTATCACTGTACCACTGTGACACTGTATCACTGTAACACTGTATCACTGTAACACTGTATCACTGTAACACTGTACATCAGCAGGGCCCGGCGCTGGCGCTCGCGAGCTACCTCATGTACGGTACAACACACACTGTATCACTGTACCACTGTAACACTGTAACACTGTGCCACTGTACATCAGCAGGGCCCGGCGCTGGCGCTCGCGAGCCACCTCCTGTACAGTACAACACACACTGTACCACTGTGCCACTGTAACACTGTCACTGTAACACTGTATCACTGTAACACTGTGCCACTGTAACACTGTCATTGTAACACTGTACCACTGTACATCAGCAGGACCCGGCGCTGGCGCTCGCGAGCCACCTCCTGTACAGTACAACACACTGTAACACTGTGCCACTGTAACACTGTCACTGTAACACTGTATCACTGTAACACTGTGCCACTGTAACACTGTCATTGTAACACTGTGACACTGTATCACTGTAACACTGTACCACTGTAACACTATCACTGTAACACTGTCACTGTATCACTGTAACACTGTCACTGTAACACTGTACCACTGTAACACTGTGCCATTGTAACACTATCACTGTAACACTGTCACTGTAACACTGTAACACTGTATCACTGTAACACTGTCACTGTAACACTGTAACACTGTGCCACTAACACTGTAACACTGTCACTGTAACACTGTAACACTGTGCCACTGTAACACTGTCACTGTAACACTGTATCACTGTAACACTGTGCCACTGTAACACTGTCATTGTAACACTGTGACACTGTATCACTGTAACACTGTACCACTGTAACACTATCACTGTAACACTGTCACTGTAACACTGTAACACTGTATCACTGTAACACTGTCACTGTAACACTGTACCACTGTACCACTGTAACACTGTGCCATTGTAACACTATCACTGTAACACTGTCACTGTAACACTGTAACACTGTATCACTGTAACACTGTCACTGTAACACTGTAACACTGTGCCACTAACACTGTAACACTGTCACTGTAACACTGTAACACTATCACTGTAACACTGTCACTGTAACACTGTAACACTGTCACTGTAACACTGTAACACTGTGCCACTAACACTGTAACACTGTCACTGTAACACTGTAACACTATCACTGTAACACTGTCACTGTAACACTGTAACACTGTCACTGTAACACTGTAACACTGTGCCACTAACACTGTGCCACTGTAACACTATCACTGTAACACTGTACATCAGCAGGGCCCGGCGATGGCGCTCGCGAGCCACCTCCTGTACGGTGAAACACGCACTGTAACACTGTACCACTGTGTCACTGTAACACTGTATCACTGTATCACTGTAACACTGTGCTACTGTACCGCTGTGCTGCTGTGACTGTACCACTGTGTCACTGTGTCACTGCCACTGTACCACTGTCACTGTACCACTGTGCTACTGTATCACTGTCACTGTACCACTGTCACTGTAACACTGTAACACTGTGCCACTGTACCACTGTGCTACTGTATCACTGTTACTGTACCACTGTCACTGTAACACTAACACTGTGCCACTGTACCACTGTGCTACTGTGTCACTGTCACTGTACCACTGTCACTGTAACACTGTAACACTGTGCCGCTGTACAACTGTGACACTGTACCACTATACCACTGTGCTACTGTATCAGTGTCACGGTACCACTGTGCCACTGTACCACTGTAACACTGTGCCACTGTACAACAGCAGGGCCCGGCGCTGGCGCTGGCGCTCGCGAGCCACCTCCTGTACGGTGAAACACACCGCACTGTACCACTGTAACACTGTAACACTGTCACTATATCACTGTGGTAGTAGTAGTGGTAGTATGGTAGTAGTGGTAGTGTGGGAGTAGTGGTAGTAGTGGTAGTGTGGTAGTAGTAGTAGTGGTAGTGTGGTAGTAGTAGTAGTGTGGTAGTGTGATAGTGTAGTAGTAGTGGTAGTGTGGTAGTGTGGTAGTAGTGGTAGTGTGGTAGTAGTGGTAGTGTGGTAGTAGTGGTAGTGTGGTAGTAGTGGTAGTGTGGTAGTAGTGGTAGTAGTGGTAGTGTGGTAGTGTGGTAGTAGTGGTAGTAGTGGTAGTGTGGTAGCAGTGGTAGAGTGGTAGTAGTGGTAGTAGTGGTAGTGTGGTAGTAGTGGTAGTGTGGTAGTAGTGGTAGTGTGGTAGCAGTGGTAGAGTGGTAGTAGTGGTAGTAGTGGTAGTGTGGTAGTAGTGGTAGTGTGGTAGTAGTGGTAGTGTGGTAGTAGTGGTAGTAGTGGTAGTGTGGTAGCAGTGGTAGTGTGGTAGTGTGGTAGTAGTGGAAGTGTGGTAGTAGTGTGATAGTGT